TATATGTATATGATGTCAACACACAGTAAAGACCTGCTAGGCTGACACACCCATAGCAGAAGAACAGCTGAGAACGATAAATCAACAACTCATTGGGAGAGCAGAGAGAATGGTTCGGTTTCCCCCGGAAATGTTAACTGTGGGCAGGTTGATACTCTAGATGGAAATTCTAAAGGGTATTGAAGACGTTCCGCATGATTTCAAAGAGGTTACGATAACTTCTTTGTAAGGGAAATCAAAGGAAGGCGGAAAACTACCACGGGATCGGTCTCCTACGCAAACAGAGGGGATTGTGTCTTGTGTCCTGCTCAGTCGACTTATCACTGGCCTTCTGAAAGAAAAATCGTTGCTGAGGAGTAATGTGGATTTCAAAAATGTCGAACTGTGATCCACTTAATTTCTTCCTCAAGAAAATCCAATAAAAGAGTCGCGGAAGGAATCAACCGCTCTATGGAATGCCTGTTGATGTCACCATCGTAGTCTTCCAATCTGTCATCAGGGAACCACTATAGATCGACCTACGAAAGTTTGGTTGTCCAGACCGATTCGTCAACCTTATCAGAGCCTTTTACACTGCGACGAACGCTCAAGGCGGACTGACTACGGGTTAATGAAGGTTAATGATTGACATTCAGCCAGGTTACAATCCTTTCAAATATGGTAGTAGCGGAAACTTACCAACACTACGACCGACTGATGATAACTGACAGAAGCAGTACCAAACTTGTCGTTGTTCGTGACGACAACTATTTTTCAAGCTCTCCTTCTCCAAAGGGTGTGATCGCCGTTATTCGACTAGGTGAAAACCATTGGGCAGCCGGCCCGACATCTCTTTGATTGATGAATACATGCGTGAGATCATTGGCTGTTTGCCCCAGATTTTCACCGCGTATCGACAATTCTGTCCCTGGCGTGCCTTCGTTAGGCGAAGTGCCTGTGACGTGTGGTGCAGGGCCACCAGCCTTCATTATTTTGTGTTTGCGTTAAGAAACAACGTTCGCTGAAATTAAAATAACATAACATCGGTTACTATTCAAGTACTCGGCCACGTTCCTACAGCTAAGCGCCTTTTCCATCATCTAATGTCAGATGTCAATAACATTCTGTTTTAATTGCCAAACATCCACTCTGAGAGGTTTTCAGCTGGTGTACTGCAAGCATTTTTGCTATTCTTGTCAACACACTATCAACAGACCTGACACTTGACAGTAAAATAAATGCACGAGTTTCAAAGGCCAGCGTGGCACCTGGTTACCTTGAGAAAAGCGTCTGCACAAATCACCAAATGTGCATAGACACTGCCATTGTACTGTCTTCATTACTGTACAGAAGCGAGATCTGGACTCCACATGAGTGGGAACTTCGGGCTTTTGACGGACGGTTCGTGCAAAACCCTGAGGTTAAAATGCGATGGTGGAATCGTGAAAATCGAAGTTCTTCGTAGAGCAAACCCTGCTGGGACTGAGCGTGGTCAAATTTGGAAACCGCTCCACCGATTAGGTCACTTTGAACGACTGGCCTAAACTAGAATCCCAAAACAACTTATTTTAGGTCAGTTAAACAACGAACCTTGAACTCGGAGATGCCCAGAAATTCGCTGTTTAGTTTTTGTGTACGTTTGGAAGACTATGATTGACATCTTAGGTCCTGCGAGGAACTGCCGCTAGACCGATCGGCATGGATGGAAGCTATCCAAACAGACGCCAGAAACTTTGCAATGTTAAAAAACAAGCTATCCTTTTGGATTATCCCAACGAAAGCCTCGTCAGTGTGAACTTGCGCAAAATGCACAACCGTATGCCTCAATTGGATAGGTTTGTGTGCCACAAGCGTATTCACTAGTCCACCAACAAAAGAGACCGTCCGGAACCCGTGTTTGTTGCGTTTTCTAACGACCAATTGCCCGATTTTGGAATGAAGTACGAATGGAATATCACCAGCTATCTACTGCCACCTTGATGGTATCACTAGGTGGGTTCCGGTATCACTTGAATGGTACTGCACTAGCAGGAACTCTATAACTTTGAGATTAACAGATAACCCCGGTAACTGGTGCCCTTGTCCATTGGTAGGCCATCGTGTTTAAGTGGTCTGGTGGCTTGCGACAGGCCTCTGCACTTTCACTCACCGATCTTATTCCCTGGGGTTAATGTTACCGCTAGAGGCCTACGCGCATCCTGATCCGTGAAAACCATCTGTGGTTTCCTACCATACTTAAGGGAGCTGACCATTGTTGACCGATAAATCCTATTCGGATGGCGGTCATTGATGTGTGTCAACTCCAATGTACTGTTCGTAAGTGTTTTCGTCAGGCTAGCCAGCGGACAATTCAAGGTGTGTACAAGCCGTACGACCGGACATTAAGAAAAAGTAAGCTAATTTAATCACATGGAGCACCACTTAGCGATAGCGCTTCGGATAGCAACTTAGAACCGTCAGGTAAACTTTGATACAAACCTTACAACCAAAGCTTGGTGTACTGATTCACTAGTTAGTTATTCACACTTATGTGTAAAGTTCTGAGAGTATTATCGACCATCTGGTCTAGCTTGATTCATCATTCAAAAGCGGTTCAAAGGCGACAGGCCGTACGTGGCATGACAACGCTATCGCAAGACCGTATGTCAAAAGTGCACACAACATACTACGCATACTAGTTCGGAACATGCGTGACCATCATAGCGATCAAATGAACCAGTTTTCGGCTAACTGCGTTAACTCAATAAAAACTACCCTTGATGAATGAAATTTGTGCAGTCCCATTTAAAGTAACCTTCATGCATTCACCAGCATTTTCCTCATAACCCCACACAAACCCTTAGAACTCACTTCCAAGGTGGCCCACTGACGTTTAGGAATGGTTTGAGAACAAACTCGAAATACCGAGAAGAACAGCCCATTGATGGGGCTACTTTCCACAGACCCCAAAATGTCCACATACTAAACCTCACATCGCACCAATTCCCTTTTTTGTGTACACCACAGACTGTAGATTTAGAACTCCACTGAGGGGAGGGGCCACAAAATGACTCCTGTCTGAGTTAAAGACCTGAAAAATATCTGAAGGATCTCCGGAATTCCCGTTAAAGGCGTAAAATGTGGGAGCTATCGCGGTGGATATAGAGGCCTAGGACCACTGGACAGTCAAAAATGGACTGGTAGACTGGCAGTGGAGATTCAGATTGGCTGTTAAATACTATAATGTGTTTTAGGAGACAAAAGACAGCCGGAAGAGCCACGGAAAACGAGATCTTCCTCATTTCTAATTGCAAGACTGGGCTTTGTGGTTTCCTAGTGGGGTTCTTATGTACGTGTGTCATAGAATGACAGCAGATTGAATTTTTGTACCGGGGTTTTTACATGTGATGGCTAAAACATGTTCAAGCTGCGAATCTCATTTACTGTGTTCAAGGTCATCTCTTGGCACCTTCTGGCAATCGTGGAAGGCCGCAGGCTAAAGCAGTTAACAATATCGTTTCATTTTACGAAATTAGACTGTTGTGTTACACTCCTAAATGTAGTCGTGGCCCCAATTCATGTTGATGAAATTCTAGTCAGATGAACGGCTTCAAAAGAAGGCGGTGGGGATGTAGGTTGATAATGACTTTCGAAAACAGTTCAGCTTACAGTATAATAAGACACATTTTTGGTATTGGAACGATCGTTTCCTAGAGGAATGCTGTTGGTCCGGAGGGAGCTTCGGCAACTGTAAAGGTGTTCAAGAAAACAGAATCTTAAAGACGGGATTTCATGACGTTGTTGTACACGTGCAAATTTCTTCACCATTGCAAGTTCATTCACTTCCGGTTTTTGAGCTACAGTGACAGTGTGTTCTAGTAAGTGGTGCCAGCAGCAGCCGCCCCATCCTGAAGACAGCATGATTTTCAATTTAGTGACATCACTTCTCTCGTTACCCATCACCAGCTTGTATGAGCAAAAAAAATAATCTAACAGAACTACTGTGTTTAATGTGAACGCAGAATGAAAAACATTAGTTTTTGAAAAATGAAATGAAAATCCCCGTTACAGCGGCGTTTCTGGTCGTGTTCTGATATATTCCGCCAGTTTCGGCTTCGCCTTGAGCACCTCCTGTTCGAGGGCTAATAATTTTGGATAATGTTTTCCCAGAAATTCGGGATCATGTTTGCGTACATGATCCATGGATGTCAAAAGGCATATATCTCCAAGGGTTACTTTGTCACCCGCAACAAACTTGCCCCCGGATTCAGAAATTGACTTGGAAATAAGCTGCAAAAGAAATGAAATAAAATAGACCAGGATTTCAACGGGCGTTTAACTGAATCTCTTGTAATGTCAAATAATATATGAAGTTGGAACTCACGTCAAGCATTTTGGGCACCGCCTCACTCATTGACTTCTTAAGCATTTCTTCCTTTTGGTCTGGTGGAGCGAAAAAGGCGGTGTAAAACTCTTTGTCCAGATCGGCACACTGTAAAAGAAAAGGTTGCTTATAAAGCATTCGATATTCTAAGCAGAAGTTATTGATTATTCGTCACAGGTTCTTCTCGATCTGGGACACATTAGGCAAGTGTAGTCTTCAAAATCCATTACCCTTTTTGTCTGGCTTTTTTTCACAGAGGATGAGCATTCGGTCAGCTGATGGTGTCAAGCACACATGAGTGTTTGTGCAGAGTCCCCGGGAGTCTTTAAACTGATACCTCCCTCTCTGAGTTGACTGGAGGTTTGGTCCAAAATAAGGATGAAACTCTGTTTATCCATCAGCTGTATAACGGTGCACAGAAATGGAACTAAATTATGTACTAACAGCGGGTTGCGTTGTTGAAATATTTCTTCAAGCTACAGCAGCTTCGGTTGGTGATAACTACCAAGAACCAAGACCCTCGCTACGGGCATCTGCACAACAGACTGTCTGGACAGCGTGTCACACCACCTTTTGTAGGAAATCTTCCGTCTTCTATCTAACTTTCCGAATAAATTGTATTTGCCTACCGATTCTGAAAGCCTCCTCTGTTTGCAAGAATTTCCCACACTTATGCGTGATCGTTTGAAAAAACTGAACAGTCCATTGGTAAGCGTCCCCGTTCTCCAGTCGACGGATTATCGTTTCCTGGTAGTTTTTTTCCATAACTCTTGATGCCCGAAAATCGTTAACGAAATGTGTGTCTATGGTTTCTCGGTTTCCTGTCTCGTACTATTAAGAGGCACAGGCTTGGTTTTTTCTGAGTTAGATAGAAGAGTGCTGGAAGCCATAAATTTAGCTATCCAGTTCTCGTAACAACAGTCGGTGAAGTAAGATCAGCTTTATTCAACCATACTTCGCAACCATTTGTCATGTCTTGTCCTGTTTAGGATGATTTTTCATCGTATTTTGGAGAGAAAAAATTGAAGCTACAATGTTGAATATAATGCCAACCGTTTGTACATTGGCCATGTTTGGACGTGAGCGCTTCCTTGTGGAGACGACGGCCACAAAAATGGTGGGAAAGTTGAGCCAAGAATTTGTCTACGGAAGGAGGTTTCCAATAAACGGGAAAAGATCTATTTACAACACATTAAAGTACGAATACTCTTAGTCATCCCTCTGTTAGAGATATCTATTGGAAGTAAGCTTATCTGTTGGAAGAGCAAACAGAAGGATATTAGAGTAGAATCATAGAATAATTTCAACTCTTTATCAAATCTACCTACCTCTCCAATCATTCGTTCAACGTTGTAATATTCCTCTTCAGAATCCCCCATCATGTTGAAGCGTTTGGCCAGCATTCGTGCAATCGCCATGCTCTCCACATAATTGACTACTTCTTTGGCTTTTTTCACTTGGAGCAGCGGTACTCTGCTTCCAGGGATTTGGTTTCTACGTTCAGGCCATTCGTTCATACCGAAACGCACGTCCTCAAAGTGGACGCCGTTTGCATGCAATATCATCCTGATTGCTTCGGCTCGGGCACGAAAGTGAAAGTAAAATAGCTGTTCATGGTGGTATAAACGAGAAGGAATAAGAATTACAGTGTGTAAAAACTGTATGGTTTTACGGGACCACTAAAGCTAAAATTAAAATGGCCTGGGTGGATAACATTGCTTTAAATCGACGCATCTTTGCTGAACTGGGGGGCTTGCCATTCACTAGAGCGCATTAAAGCTGTCTGTCGGATAAATGGCGAAATCTCTGCAAGCTGATTGCCAAACTCCGCGAACATATCAACGGTCACGTGAACATCTATCAGGACAACTTGACAGAATCAAACATTCAGTTGTGAACTGAACGCGAATCTTCATGCAACTGCGCGACATGAGTTCCAAACACATTTGTCGTTACCATTAGGCTGGTATTCAGTATTGTATTTAGCATTGTAATTATCGCTTCCTTTGATGGTTATAATCTCCTGTCAGGTTCCATACACAAGCAGTCAGACGATTCGCCGAATAAAGCAGTGGCCGGTAAGGAAATATTCTTATCGAGGACAAGCTTAATACCACAAGACCTAACACGCTCTGGCAGCAAGGCCACATTTAGTGAGAAATAGCTCTTTTAAGGGACAATTTCATCGACTGCGGATTTTTTCGGCTGCACTAAGAGGAAACAAGGGGCGCCAAAACCAAAGTAAAGCAAACGGTATTAGCCGACTAGCTGTCATGCCAGTCAAAGGAAAGGCTGAGATCTCGCCACATTGTCCAAACAAGATAGGAATAACCGGAATGCTGGGATGGGCCTTTCGGTCAGTAGGTTCACGCCCAAAACACTGAGCGACAACCAAAATGGAGGAAAGTTTGGGTTCTTTTAACTGCTGATTCATTTTCTCAGAAGAACAGCTTCAGTTTGCATGTCTTTTTTCTCTGATACATAGTCGCCTGTTCTGTCGACCGGTTGATGCAAGGCGCGTTAGTTACGGATATTGGTAGCGAGGCCACGTCATTGGATCGACCTATCGATTTGGTTTGGTCAGTGGCTCAGTCCAAAATTCTCACGTGTGACACCATTCGTTGGAACAAACAAACAATTAATGACCAATGATAACCCGCAGCTTGTCACTCATCACTTTTGATACATCGTTGTGATCAGGCACATTATTTAGTGTTTCTGAACTAAGTTTATCGGGTGGAACGGAAACCTCTGGCTCCTAACCAAACAGACAACAGTAGCGGAGCAGCGATTGATTAATTTCCATTTTTTACTTGTAAACCTTGTAAACGGATGAGCAATAGTACTGAATAAATCCGAGAAGTTCACCTCCACCGAAGCGACATGGTGCATTACACGGTCCTAAAGGCTTTCCAACACAACCCTACTCAGTGGATATGCTTGTATGCGGTTGATACTTGTCATTTGCCTCTAGCATGGATTACATTTTGATGTTCTCAGACGGTCTGTCCTACAGGACAATATATTGCGTCATCATTCGCCTCCTTTGACCGGGGAGGTAAACAAGTCGTCAATATTAAAATGTCCCATAGAAGCCATTTGACTGACTTGCCATTATAAGTTTGACCAAAGCGTCAACACTGTTGGATTGGCATCATTCGATTCTGGAGCAGCCCACTACCCTGCACTCAAAGTAAGTATAATAAATGACCACAGACTGATAAGTCCAATGCTCGAAATCCTAATTTTGCTATGACTGAAACCCAGCCAAATTTGGAATCAAGCAGCTGGTAGCATTCAAAAAACCGGGAAGAGTAATTAAAGAAATCTCTGAAGAACAACAGGCCTGAAATGTTTCTATTCTTCTACTAATATTGGGTACCAAAACATACGACGAAGCCATTGCTAACTTAAAATTTCAATACATGAATGAATCCGGAAAAACAAAAACAAAATGACAAATTTGACATTATAATTATCTGTTAGCCTGAATGTGAGTGAACTGAACAGTGAGGGATCTATTAGTAATGTAATATTGAAGCCGAAGCTGTTGTCTAGCCTTCAGTGAACGTGAGTTTCTGGACATACTTGAAGAACAGAAAACAGAATGGGATTCACAAACGATCAAATGTCCAAATGTTTTGTTTGTGGTTGTAAAATGACGTTATGGGAAATGCGGACTACGCAACCTGCAGTCCGAATATGATTTATATTTAAACTGTCCGCTCAAACTGAATAATGGCGTAACTCGAGGCTTAGTTTCCCTTGTCGTGACCTCAATTTATGAATAGTACACGGGGGATTGTCCACGCTGAAGCGCCCAGAAATAGCCTCTTAACGACATTCACTTCAGAGCCGATATCTCCTCTCAGCCCGAGGTTAATGGGCAAAACTAAGCGAAACTAAGCAGGTCAGCACACTCCACAGAAGGACCGAAAGCATGGCGATTAAATTGCATTGAAATTAATCTGGGGACAGGGCAGAAGCACAAAATAGGTTTTGATAAGAATATCTGATACATTCTGAGCCATCTATAAGGAACATCTTCATCGTGCAACTCTCTTCAAAATCTCAATGAACGTTGTTCTCCACAAGGCAAAGAAACACCGAGAATGAGACCTAGTATTCTACAAACTTATGTCATAGGTTTCACTGTCAGGCGGTGCACAAATTTCTCTCATAATAAGTAATAGCAATACCAAATAATTTGTTCACCAACCGTGTAGTGTTCATCGGCCATGTTGTCGCGGTCTCCAAGCGTCTACTGATCAAGCTGATTGACGTGCTATTATATATATATATACGCGTACGAGGTCAGTAACTAAATCCAGGACAGAACATCAATCGATGCACTCTCATCAACTGTGCTCTCTACTGACTGGTGGACGACGTCTTTCTGTTTTTGTGTGCATTGTAATTAGAGTGGTGCGTGGTAGACTGACATTCACAGTGCTAGAGAACACACCTGATACGGACGTAAACAATACAGCAGCGCTCAACCATTGCACTGATCTGATTCTAAGCATCCTTGTTTCCTTCTGAGAATTCTACCTTTTCTATGATCTGATTATTTACAGAAATGGCTACCCAAACATTTTATAATCAGAATTGCACCAGACAACAATCGTGTTCAACACCTTACCCACATCGTATAAGGTCAGTGGATTCCCAGATCAAAACTGAGATTAGCCCCGATATGTAATGCATTGTCGTATGTGTACAAGGATGAGATAGTAAAATGGTTTTGGAAAGGAAAATACATCGGAATTGTGGCGAGGTTCAGTACCATAGAAACCAGAAGCGTGTTCTGTTTTGGCCCAGGTGACTATGAATGAAGGCAGTTAAATGGCACTTCCTAAATTCAAGAGGTACTGAAACCGCGAATATCGCATCATCATACTGGCAAAACAGCATTCCGAGCAGTTTAGGAGTGGCGAGTTCACACCTGACCTAACAAAATCCAGCAAAGTGTTTTTGAACATTTAAATGTAAAATCGTTAGGCTACAGAGAAAAGCACTTGATTTATTCGGTTGTAAAATTTTTGACGGTCAGCCTGATTAAAGAGTCAGTAAAGCATGGCGGTTTTATAGGATACCTTTTGCGGATGGTGTAATCCGGCGTTCAGACACCTTCTGCAGTTACACAGTCCCATATATGGAATCTTGTCTGTTCGGCCACACTTTCGATGAATGCGAACTGTAAACTGGGCTACCACACTGCAATGCAACGAAAATTGAAATCCGCTGACCTTGTTTTCAGGGCGACGAACCCTCAGTTTGTTCTCACTCTTTTATTACATGAAATCATACAAAAAACTTGCCCTTAGCAACTGAAGATCAACAATGAATGCCACGGAAAACATATTGAGCAACACAGATTCCGTCCGTTGGAGGCTCAGGGGAATTGCCTCACCCTACGACTACGGCAGCCGCTAACTGATTCCCTGATGTAGTAAATCACGATTCCTGTTTCGTTCCCGCATGTTCTACATTTTTATCCACCTGTGAATTTAGTCAGGGATAGGACGAACGGTAAATTCGTGCTCTCAGTCGATGTGAAACGTATTAGAGTGAGCTCTCGGCTACTCATTTTGCCGCTTAACATTTTATCTATACGCTGGACAGTCGGCCATTGGTGGTCTTCATTGCTCACAAGCCTCCGATATTTGGTTTTGAAAACCCCTAGGACCAAGGCTGCGGTTGACACCGAGCTCCAAAATAGATAAGAGCCTCGGATTTTTGGCCAATCAAATGAGTAGACAGTTATATCAAGAAAATGTATTGCGAGAATTCCGACAAATACAGTTCAGATCGTAGTTCTCCAAAAAATATTCGGCGTGAGTCCCATATGGATAACCTAAGGACGAACTTTGTTCAGCGTGCGTCACCAGTCTTCCGAACAAGATCCACTGTCAGTACGAGAGACAAGATCTTCTCAATGATTGTAGAAACTTGCTTCGCGTGGTCAATCATCACTTGTGATGTCTTCACGCGGGATGACT